AAACAGCGTTATAAGGCACACAGGTTCGCAAGGCCAGCTCTAGGGCTGGAGATCTGGGAATACCGTACAAAACCCAAGCTGCAAACAGACTTCCAGCCTCATAAATATCTGCTTTGCAATTACAAAGTGACAGCTGTGAAAACGTATCAAAATATTGGCTCCTTTTCCTTTTATATCATCTTGAAGGGAACACTGTGATAAATTTAATTCTGTTTAAAAGAGAAGAGCTCTGGACTCTGTTTTTCCTGAAGCTGGCAGTTGCTGGTTTTGACTCTCCAAAGCGTTTGCTTCACTCACGAATGCCTGGCAGAAGCAAACACGCACAACATTGATGCTTACTCTGCAACATGGCAAGAGTCTTACTTCTTAATGTCTGAAAATACGCAAAAACATCGCAATTTGTTGGCTAATAATTGCATTTTTAAAGTAATTCCTCATACGAGACACTAATCATGCTTTCACACCATGTTTCAGTCAAAATACAAATCTTAAAGGTAAAAACCAGCTCCAGTATCTTTATGCCAAGAGTCAGCTCTAAGGAGCTCATTTCCAAAGGAAGAAAAATTGTCTTAACACAGAAACTGAAATATAGTTGTTGTGAAGCAGTAGATGTATTGCACCTCTGTGAGTTCTAAGCTACAGGCAACATATGTAAGCTTAGGACTGCTAATTAATTGTCTTTTCTGTACTGAAGGAATCTTGGTATTTAAAAGCAATCATGAAATGTTTTAGATCTCTTCCTTGGGGAACTCTCTTTTGTGAGTTAATAACCACAACCTTTGAATAACCCAGGGAAATAACGCTTGAGGCTGGCTCCCCCAGAGTGCCCATAAAGAACATTTTGCACATGAAATACCGGAAACAAAGCAATAAGCAGGATAGTAAACACCCAAATCCTTGCCCTGCTGATGCCTGGCCAAGCTATCTGTTCTAGTATGGGAAGACCCTTCAGTAATGCAAACACACCTCACGTGTCTCCAGCGTGCTTGTAGTCAAGGGTAAAACAGCCCAAGGGAGCTCTCCTGCTTCAGCTAGACTTAGGTTTGACTGTGCTCAAGCCAGGCTTTGTGCAGGATGGGCCTGCGGCTGTGTCTTGACATACAACAACTAAATGCCTGCAGGATCAGAGCCTTGAACTTCAAATTCACAGTGAAGAACAGCAGTGTTTAACTAAATACACTTATTGGCTTCTGCAAGATGCCATGGTACTGAGAAGCCAACCAAAGCCAATGGATAAAAAAAACACAGAAAGGAGAAAATCAAGGTGGTCACACAAAATCAAATGCTGCCTTAAACACACACGATTCCCACTGAACCTTACGTGAGATGAGGACATGGCAGTGAGAGAGAACTTAATCTACTGCTGTTGGCTCTGTACAACTTCAAATAAATGACTCATGGCACCAATTATTAATAAATCGATATATACTTTATTATGCACAAGAGACTAAGATGACATGACACTGTGGTTATAAAAACTGTACAACTATGCATTTCCACAAGTCTCTGAAATACTGAAAGCAATATGAAACACAAATGGGGTGTTCAGACTGGCCACAGGTATTAGCAAGTTAATTTCTCCCATTCTTAGATTTAAAAAAAAAAAAAACCATCTGGCATTTGGATCTTAAAGAAATGTACTTATTTATTTGAATGTTGTGTTTGGAGCTGGTAGGAACATGGCAGCGAAGATCCAATAACGCTGTGAACATCCCCATGAATGATAAACAACAACAGGGCAGAACAGTCACCTCACACGAAGGGCTGTCAGCACAACCAACAGTACAGTCTTCTTGTGAAGCATGAGGTAGATATACATAACAGAAAGAACGGTACATATAGGAGAGAAATGGTTAGGAAAGGGCAGGAGGAAGGTTACAATCATCAACATCTACAGACGTTTTGCAAAATCCGTTTCTATGTGGAAAATGCTACAACAATAGCCTAACACGGAAAGATCTGACTGCTTGAAACATGGATACAGTCATGTCCGAAACCAAATGCTGTAAAAGGTTAGTGATTAGACGACGCATGACACGACGAGCAGTCTGCTTTGGAGTTTAAGTATGTTACTAATAGCTTTTACGGACAGAAGGTGTCCCTTTTTAAGCCCAATCCTCCCGTTCTTCCGTAAGAAGTTCCTTCGCAGTCGATTCCATCACACGAGACCAAGTTTGACCGCGGCGGGGACCAGCGGCTTCGTGGTTACGCGTTCAGGAGCTTGCCGCACCAGACACAGAAACTTGCAGGAGAGACGAATGGCTGCTATAGAAGTTGAGCTTATAGGTGTATCAGCACTCGGGAGCTGCAGGCAGCTTAACGCCTGCTGGAAAGTACTATACATCTTTGTGATAAAGCTCTGAACTGGGAATGCCCGGGTTTGGTTCTTTCTCCCTCTCTCAGCAGAAATGGCTGTTCCATCTGCTAAGTAATTACATGCAGTTTTGGTAACCTCCAATAGAGAATTAATTCAGATTGATTAAAATTTCTGAATTAAATAGCTGAGTACACCAAGTTCAGTTAATTAAACTGTTTTTCAAATACAAGTCAACAAATCGAATCTTTGTTCTTTATCTATTTTTGGTTTATCCAATGGTAAATATAAATCTGTAAATTATTTTAAAATTAGAGTAAATTTTTGATAAAAACCATCGATAATGCAGCATGTTTCTCTCAAAAATATACAATTATCTATTTTACAGAAAAGTTTTCAACCTGTTAATCCCAACAACCAAATCGAATACTTTCTATGGGAAACTACTTAATAAAATATCTGAGGAAGGAAAGGGTTAAAACGGGGAAAAGCATTTACAAAATATGTAAATTTCACAGTAATTGAAATTAAACATTTTGTATAGAGTAACTTACATTTATCTAAAACATTTAAATATATCTTTATACAGAAATTTAATGTAGTAAAATATAGCTATGATTGAACTTAAAGACTCTAGTCTTCTTTGAAGACATCTTTAAAGACTTTACACATAGAATATGCTTATACAATACATTCTGCTGAAGGTTAGGCAAAGCGCTTTCTTTTCAACCACACAGGTAGCACATTCATCCTCCCGACACCTCGTAACAGAGCCAACCCTGCAAACCCTTACGCATGGGGCTAACTACCCCTCCGTGACAATCCTGTCATGTCAGCAGGACGACACGTCGGCCTGGGAACAGAAAACACTTTTCGTGTGCGTAGCTATACGCCGACTACCTCCACGGACTCTGAGAACAGCCGTAACGTGTAGAGCTGAGCACGTCCTTGTACTAGCAAGGACGAGGCGTGTAGTTACTCACATGCATAAATGTTTGCAGGATTAGTAACAGATTTGATTTAAAGCGAGTAATAGTCCACCTGGCCCCGGGCACGTCGATCTATTGCGTATCTTGCACTTTGACCACCCTGGCATCCGCAAGGCACAAGTGTAGAATCGGCAAAAGAAATCCGCAGCTCAGGGTTCAGAGCAGACTAGCACTCTAGTGTAATGAATTCCCTTCTCCTCTAGGAGAACGCAGGTAACCCTCACTAAAATTAATGAAAGCTACTCATTTTCAGAGGAAAACAACACTTGTTTTTCCTCAGAGGAGAAGGATCAGTAGAACACATTACAATTACAAAGTGGCAACATAACAGTCAAACAATTACACGTTTAAAGTGTCTTTTTTTTTTTCATTTGGCATCGATTTGAAGGTCGAGATATGGCAATGACACCAAAAAAATACGATGACAATCAGTACCTTTCTGCCATTTCCATATTCTGACACTACTTTGGGTACAATCCAATTGCAATGTTCACGCGACGGGTTGACACAAACAACTGCACAACTATCCTAAGAGAACAGCTTCATTCTGATAGGCAGTATCCTGCACAAATAACAGGCTCTACCATACATTCTTTGTGCCCTCAAAACCATCTCTCATTTCAAAGGGAATTTGGGCTACCTAAAGGATTAGAACCAAATCACCTTTTTACTTCCTCTGTCTACCTATTATAAACTGAAGAAACAGTTGGTTTTTATTTTTTTTATATTATATATATATGCATTATATATTTTATGTACGGAATGAACACTGAGCTAGTTTCCCAATTGCTAAAGTGGTAAAAGGTAGGCTCTGTATACTCTAGGTATACATCCATTTGTCTTTACAGACATTGCCATTAAAGGTACACACACCCCTACGTTAGTGCACAAGAACATCATTTGTCTTAACTTTTGTGTGTGCCTGTATTTGGTATAATAAGGTTAAAAAAATCTCTTAGTAAAGAGCTTTGGCCCAGCGAACAAGAAAGGGAATGTTAGAGTGTGCTCTTCTCCAATTAGCAAATCAATGCATATTAAAACAAACATACCTGGAACAAACCTGAAGCTGCAAACACAACAGGAAAGCAAATGAGATGCTGTAGCCATAAGCTTAACAAAACAAAGGTTACTCAAAAGTGGCTAAACATAGCTGAAGTAATAAAATGTTATTAACCAAAGAGATCTGACCTTGAGGCTTTCTTGCTTAGACAAATAGAAATCCTTTGACCTAAGATCATCTTTGTTCTGCTCATCTTCTTGAATTCCCTTGATGAATACCTTGTGTCGATGAGAAGGTTCAGGGAAAGAAAAAAGTCATACAGACAAAGCAGCATTTCTCCAAACTGGCATAGATTTCACATTGAGGGCCCACGGACCCCTGAACAGGTTGCAGTACTGTAAAATTAGTAGCTTTGTCACATGTAGCACAACATGCTATAGAAGATCCAACAGGCTGTGTTTACCCATGCATTGTGTGCACACCTACACACTCACACACACAGTGGCTTCCCCAAAAGAAAATTAGTTTGTTGTTTGGTTTCGTATTCCTCCCCCTACCCCCGTAGAAAAATCCCTCCTCTTTTCTTTTTCAAAAGCAACCAAACCAGTCCTTTTAACTTTACAAAAGAGCTCGTGTCCACACACAGTCCTTGGAACCTCTGCACTCCTGGGCTGCTCCTCAGCTGCGTCCCCCGGCGTTAGGTCGCACTGCTGCTGGAGCAGGGGGTGCTCTGCGTGCTGCCAATGCTGTGCGCTGCACTGCTGTTCTCGGAGGCTGGCGGGGACGTGGGCACCTGCTGCCTTCCCGCTGTTTCCCCTGCGGGAAAGGGGAGAGAAAAAGGGAGGGGTTGGGAGAAGGGAAATTGAAAATGTTAGTTGTCACAGAAAGCAATAATCCGCTCCTTCCCAGTCGTCCTCTACTGGTGGTCTCCGTTCCCATGCAATGAGTATTTTGGGTGGCAGGCTGCAAACAGAGGGCTGTTGAAAATATTACTCCACTTTGGCACCTGAGCATTGCTATGCACGTGGGGAAAAGAACGCTGCTGTTTTCCTAGGCATTTTAAAAGCAGCCAACGGAAACTGCCAAGACAGACACTGTCCATCTTCTGTTGTAGCTGCCACTCACGTGGGCCCCGTTACACGACTCAGACCGCTCTGCAGCTTTGCTGTTTCATGGAAAAAGGCAAATAAAATGCAGGCTTTAGTTTAAATGCAGTTTATAGAGTAGCATATTCACTAAAAGCGGAGCTGAAGACAATGTTCTTCAGTCAGCTGGATACCACATATCCTGAGACGAGGCCAGGTTTCTTCATGTAGAAAAACAACAGGCTACCCTGCAAGCCTGACTCGATTTACTCCCAATATAAGATGCAGGAAGTTCCCCTATAGCTCCCACAGTATGCATAGCACTTATAACTCGTAGCGAGAACAAGACTCACCGTTTCTTGTTAATTGTTTATTGATGATAAATTAAAAGCCTTTTGTGATTTGGATTGCCAAATCATGCACTCGGGAGTTAAAGCCAGATTTATGGCTCCTGATAAAACCTAGATTTTTGTCTGCTCTCCTCACACCCCTTCTGCACCTGTGACTGGGATCCTATGGGAAAAAATCCAACTCTCAACTAGCATGGAAGTAAAAATGGCGTCATTATGTGAATGCCCAAAAGATCATAGCGAGACCGTGCAGGAAACCATAACCGTGGCATTTTTTAAGTTACAGCACTCAAATCCGCAGCCTTAGTAATATTACTAAATAGTCTTTTCAAAACAGATGGCAAGACTAAGTTTATATAACGTGCACTGTAGCTGCCCTCTCCCTCGAGCTCATCTCTGCGGATGGGAACCTGCGATCGCAGCACGGTAACAGGGACAGGCTGCTGCTGCTTGAGCTGTCGAGCAGCCGTGGCAGCCGGCACCAGCACGCCTGCTCTCCCAGCAAAGGAGCAAGATGGACATATTTTGCTGGATCATGGGCAGGAACAACTGGGGGAAAAAAAAAAAGTATCAAAAAATAAAATCAAAGGCTGGTACATCTGCCTCATTAGCTTATAGGCACACAGAGGACCTGCTCACGTTGCTCTAGGTGGTGCAAAACCTGACACCATGGGCCAGGTCTGCTGGGGTCAATTTTTCTTCCCTGCTCAGGATGTGGTAGAGCTCCCTTTCCCCGGCGCTTGCTTCAGTGACAGGTTGAAGGCCGGAGGCACAGCCTGCATCCAGAGGGTTACAGAGCTGGGACGAGCCAGCTTCCTCCCACAGGATCTGCTCTGGCACATCCCCATGCCCCGTGTGCTGCTGCCCAGCTGCCAGAGCCCCGAGCTCCTCGGGAATGCGGCCGCGGAGGAAGCGTGCCTTTAACGCTTTGCGTCTCGGGCCAGAAAACGTCCTTCTGCAGGCTGCTCAGTATTCGGAGGTCTGCTACAAACAAGGGATGGCTGAGGGTTTCTCACAGCAGAGGTTGCAAGTGCTCTTTGTAATGGGAACCAGCGGGTTCGCTGCTAGCTCGCGCCGCAGCTGTAAGCGCACGTGAGGCCCCACAACGCAGGGCTCTTGCCTTACACCCCACTGGTTTAGGAATGGGGAGGAAAGAAGGGACGGGGTAGGACAGAACAGAAAACCAACACACTAAACCACTAAACCACATCGCCCAGGGGGCCAATGAAAGGTTTAAAAGGGGGGTCAGGATCGTGCTCTTGAATTCAGCGCCAAGTCCAGCATTTACTTTCCCGAGCAGATTTAGATTCTGTTCTTCCCAGTGTAAGAAATAACTACGCAGCTCGACCAGAAGGGGCGGATTTCTGCTTGCATGCAGCAGGTCAGAATCTACCCCCAGTCATCGTGCAAATAAACCCGAGTTTCAGCTCTAACTTGCATCAGAAACAACTTTGCAACCCACCAGAATAAACTGTATCAAATCAATGTCTGTGTCATCGTGCTGTAAAAGCTTTCCTAAGCCTTGTTTGGATGTTTTCCCCAGGAACAGCGACCGCTCCGCTCCCCCGGCGGGGCCCCCGGCCCCCGCGCCCTCCCGCCGGCTCTCCCTGCAGCTCCGCTGTCACCCATTTTACAAACCACATGATCGCACGCAGCTTTGCGTCAGCCTCGGCATGTCAATACCATCTGTATGCATTTCACCATAAATTCATTTATAAGCGAAATGCATGGTGGTTTTCTCTATGGCAAAGCGACAAACGCGGTGCTGGAGTCCCCGGGCGAGCCCAACAGCTCGCTCTGCTCCTCCCAGCTCCTCTGGAAAGCGTCTTAGGAGGCACCTTCCCTCCGGTTTGGGATGGGAGCCCTCTTCCCTCCGCTGTAATTCAATTGCCTCTGCAGCACCTCATTTCTAGAGCACGATCAGCAGCTCTGATACACCACGATCGCTTGTTGAACAGTAACAAATTCTCAATGTCCTCGAGGAAAAAAAAAAAAAAAGATCCAAATCACAGTGATGTTATGAACACATTTGGACTGGCTGATTTTTCCTACGTTTTATTTCCTCAACGCCTAGCTAATCTGTAGTGAAGTATTTTTAAAGAATATTCATGAAAAGGATGTAAAGAAATGTAAATTATCACTGAAGAGGCATTCCCCATCTGTCTTGTTCATGTAAACAGCTTCACGTATCTCACGTTACTGAACCAGAACTGCTCGCAGTGGACACGTCTCATCTATTGACAGTAAACAAGCTTTTACCCATCTGAATGCGACAACATGCACTTTATTATTCACACTTAGGAAAGCTGCCAGTTGTACTCCCTGTCCAGGAAGTCTGAATGTTTGCTTTTCTATCTCTATTTGCCAAATATAATTGGTTGCTATGTCAGTTTATTTTAAATCAGATCCCATAAAAAAGGGCGAAGTGGGGGAGGAGGGCCGCTTTTAACTTCTCAGATTTTGGAACGTTTTATCCTGTTAACTTGCAGCGCTGCCTGGAGAAGAAGGAAAGGGCGCTTTCGAAGAGAATGAAGCAACTGCCATTCTCCGGAGCACAGCATTCACTTCGCTTGGGTTAGCAGCCTCATTAACTAACCAGACTTGGGCATGTCCCTCCCAAAACACAGTCAATTACCCCACTAAGGCAGATATTACACAGTTAAATTTTGAAGGGTTTCTGCATCTGCGTACACCACAAGATTTCTGCTTCTTTCCAAGACTCCCAGGAAAATGGGGTTAGTTGTGGCAAATCTCTGCTACTTTCCCTTTGTTCTTGGGTCCTCTCTGGGCAGAACCACCACCACCGTGGAAAGCTTTCAGCCACCTTTCTTGTCCTTTAACTGACCAGAGAAAGGATCAAAAGCGTGGAGTCCTTTTGCAGAAAAGTTGGCTAAAATTCCTCCTCCATTGCCGTATCTTAGCTTTCCCTCCACCCCTTCTTCTACTACCTGTGTATCTTAGGACATCTGTACTCCATGTTGAATTGTTTCAGAGAATCTGGAGTATTTTAAACCACAATTTTGATGCTTTGGCAGAAATCCTTGATTTTTTTCCATTACTGAAATCAGCAACATCCCTATGTGAAAAAAACCCCAACACAACAATCCTCGTTCCATATTTGAAGATGAAATTCCACTTATTTTGTAGTTCTTTTCTGCTACCAATTGTTTGCGGTTTTAATGTTAACCCCTATCAAGATGCACAAAAGAGCTCATTTGTGTAAAGTTTTCTCCATGCTAGAATGAGTCTGCCAGTAGAGACGTACTGATAAATTTATATCGGCAAACCTTCTTACTACTGCCAAAGAGGCGGCCTCTTGCTGTATTGCATATAGCACTACAGCAATGAACCCACCTTACTTCACACATCCCAAGCTGCCATTCTTCACCAGCAGTAGCTTTTGTCCATGCTCCCAAAACACGGTTTTAGAATGAACTCTCATTTTCCAGCCTTTGGTCTAAATCGGGCAGTAGAAACCCAGTGCTACTCGCAGCAAAAGATGAGCTTTCAGAACACGATTCAGCAAGGCATGAATACTCTAATGGCAAAAACCAGCCACTTGGTAGATGAAATTTAGATTATCTTTTTTCTCCCCCCTCCTTATTTTAATATAAGTCTGCAGCCAGCAATAAAATGTTTCCACTGCAGCTGGATTATCTTGTCTGCCACAGCAGTCATCCTCTATGAGGCTGTCCTTGCCAGAGCACTCTGCTGCCAATTGTGCTCTGCAGATACACGATACTAAGTACAGAACAGTTACGTGCACAGGAACATAGGTTCACTTTCCCGATCCTTTGAAAATCTAAACCAGATAACTTCCTAGATATTTTTTATCATTTCTGTGGATTCTCTGATCTGATGATGAGTTACAACGCCCTCTTCCTTTCTTTCCTTCTCATTTATTATATTACTTTTTGTCTGGCCTTTTTCTCCACTTATTTTCATCTCTCAAACACAGAGCCAGAGCAGCTGCCCTCTCCACTACTTGTACGTGGTCACTATGACTGATGCACTTCGTTAATGTAATTCTTTTAATGGGATTGGTCCTGGTCCAACTCCTATTGCTGCTGAAGGATTTATCATGTTGGCTTCCCAGTGTTCTTTTCTTACCGACGCACACATGCAGATGGTTCTGTACATGAACAGAGATTGAACTTCTGCAAACGCAGGACCAACGATATTAATTTAACAATGATCTGAATTTTTTGTTAATAAAGGCTACCTATGTGGAAACTACCTTCTTAACTTACACATTTACTCGTTGAAATTGCACTTACTTTTCTCCCACGATGTTTCAGTAGTATACAAGTCAGAATTGTACTGTTTACACACAATATCACAACCTTTAAATTTTCCACATTTGCCTCAATTCCAAACAAGCTTCATACACAGCTGATGCGCTGGCAAGTAATAAGCTGGTTATACAAAGCTGTTGTACTACCAACTGGAAAAAACCCCACAGGTTGTTTTTGGTGGTTTTTTTTTTTTTTCCAAATTAACATAAGCTCCTGGGTCATAATATTTACAGAAGCTCTGGCCCGATGGGGCTGGATTCTCGCTCCTAAATAGCTTCCATGAGGTTTTAGATGCCGAAAAACACCCTGCAGTGGGCTATGGGGGAATTCCAATGCTCCAGAGCTGCACAGGTTTGGAGTCATTGACCTCACATTCTTCCCACCTCCCAGAGATCTTGCAGGGTCTTGCAAGGTAAAAGTGGAAGTAGCTGGGAGTCCCGCATGCTGCAGGGATCCTGAGATACCCCACAATCTGCAGGCAGCCCAGGTCAGATGCTGCAAATCAAGGTCCCATCGATGTCCAGTCTTTGTCTGTACCACCTTGCAGGCTCCCAAAACTCCCTCTTCTTCCCATACAGTATTGTATTTCTGTTAATGTAGTTTAGTATGGGAAAAAAAAAATAGGCTGGGGAGATACTGAAAAATTATCTGTGCAGAAAAGCTGCACCAATTCAGGCACATTCCTGGTTATTTGGTTGGACACGATTAAGTGAGATTACACACGACTTCTACCAATCTAATGTACCAGTTGAAGAATGGAGGAATAAATAATCGGGGCAAAAATTCTATATAATCAAGGCCCAAGAAACATTTTCAAGTCTAGTTATATTCAGAATATGTCTATGTAAATAAAGCATTCTCTTAGCCATTTGGCCCACTCCTTGTGCAGATCACATCACATTCCCAGTCACATCAGCCTAATTTAGTAACTGCAAAACATTTTTTACAAAAGGAGTATGGGAATCAAAAGGGATCCATTAACCGAAACATTAACTAAATTTGAAATACAGAGATGCTACAACACAACGCTCGAGTCAGGAATACTCAGTTTTACTCATGTCCCAGGTGAGTTTTCAAGATTCGTGTTTAAAATTATTTTAGCAAATTTCAAATCATGTTCATAATGTGTAACAGCTCCCTTTAGGGAAGGGCGGGTATCAATCTGCTGATACGCGCCAACAGGCTCATGGGAGGAGCTGCTGGAAAACACCCCAGTAAGAACAGAGAGCAAGGAAAAAAGTCCAGGATAGGCATTGCTGGCCCCCTCCTCCCCTTTCCTCCCACCTTGCAAGAGTTCAGACCACGCCGCGTTTCCTGCGGCACGATCTGCACTGAGGTCTGCCAGAGCCCCCAGACTTACCTGTGTGAGAGTAGATAAACCAGAGCGCTCCTGTTAGCAGGGCTCCGATCACAAATGCCGCAAAGGCGATGCCCACCACAGTCAGCGTGTCCAGACCGTAGTACACAGCTACAAAGGCAAACGCACATAATCAGGGTTTTTTATTTTCACTGGCAAATACTGTTTTACCAAAACCAAAAAAAAACCACCACCAAAAAAAAAAACCACCCTTACGTTTTTATGGAAAAGTTTTTTTTAAAATATTTTAGCTGGCAAATACTGTTTTACCAAAACCAAAAAAAACCCCACCAAAAAAACCCCCACACCCTTACGTTTTTATGGAAAAGTTTTGTTAAAAAAAATTTAATTAATTAAGCACCATTTTAAGGAACAGACTAGCAGATTTGCATCAAGGAAATAAAAGTGATGCTTTCAGAGACTGGCTTCAGTCCAACCAACTGTTCCACATCACAAAGCAAAACCCCAGCTCAGCACATCCAAATCTGGAAAATGTTACAAAAAACCAAGCATTTTCGGTTGGCTGTTAATAACTTGCTTTCAATTAAACACCCATTTGTCTTAAGAATCTGTTTTAAAGAGGCTGAGATTTTTTGGCAAAAGAGGCTTTTCATTTTAATGCCCTAACTTTCAAGCAAACTTTCCCCTACATCTCCTGCAAGTTCAGTCTGAGATCTAGGTGGAGAACGGAACTGCTGTTAAGAAGGAAGAGATGCCAGCAAAAAGTCAGCGAAAACATAAATAGAAACAATTGTTTTTCACATTTGGCAATGCTTTCAATAACTGAAATTAATTCCAGAACACAAAAATAGAACCACACACACACACGCAAATCACTTTCCAGGGGAGAGGCCCTTCTGCAGGATGGTTTCAAGGGTAACATGTATTGCCCCCCAGTGCTACCCATCCAAACAGAGAAACTCCTGGCTTCTGTGGTTTTCTCTTTGGTGATTAGAAGTACTTCAAAAAAATAATCACCACTCTTTTAGCAGTCATTGGGGGAAATTTCTTCTTACAAAATTGATTTCTAGTTTCAGTATTTTGAATGTCTCCCAGTGCACAAAATGGCTTAGGCCAGTGAATAACATTTTACTGAGTAAGCTGGCCAGGAAACGAGCTGACTGGAGCTTCTCAGTAGTATCCGTCAGTGAAATTTCAGTTCTCAAAACACAACCAACACCCTCCCTTTACACTTTCCTGCATCTAGCAAATGTCCCTACGGACATCCCCCAGCCCAACAGCTCCCGAGATCCTCAGGGCCGTTCCCTTTTTCCCCTTTTGACAAATGTCTTCTCCAGCAGTTCCTGCAGGCAAGGGCTTTCAGGACCTATTTCTGGGTGCCTGTGACCAAGTTTACATATTCAACACCTGACAGTGGCTTAGAAGGTTTTCTTCTATGACACTATTTCCAATTCCTTTGGCCATATCTGGTCATTTTAAATGCAAACAGAAAAGACTCTCCTAAACTCAACTGTTTTTTCCACAAGGCACCAGCCAGTGTCCTCTCCTCTTAGGAGAAAACTTAGTGGAGAAGAGAAAGTCACATGGAGGCTGAAGTGGCAAAGTAATTTCTCATTCCCCTTGCTATTTTGGGCAAATTTAGTCCCAAAGACAGAAGCAGAGGAAAAAACCTCCTTTGCACTTCCTCGTCTAATCTTCCCTTTTCTCCATTCATTCTTGGTTTTGGCTACAAATCATCTTCACCTTCCTGTTTATTATTGTTTTCTAGTGCTGCTTCTCTCCTTTTCCTCCCTTCCTGGGCCAGTAATTGACCCTGGTTAATTCACTACGCCGAGACAACAGAAAAAACAAAGAAATCAATCCGTATCAAGTCAGTTGATCTCATCTGCAGCGTGACCTTGAAGTGCTGGCGCCAGAGTAACTGGGGACATGGTCAGCTGCAGGGCAGTAAGGCTTGGAGCAGGACACGGGAGCTCTGTGCGATGGCATTGCTACTGAAACCCTGGGACCGGGAAGCAGCGGACTCTGCACAGAAGGGGGAAATAACACACACACACACACACACCCCCCCCAGCAAATCAACTTGCTAAGGCTGAGACTCTTAGTGGTGGTGTTTTCCCCAATTTGATTTTTTACACAAAAGGTCGCAGCCCTTCTCTCCAAGCGCTGATGGGAATCTCTCAGTCAGCAATACAGTCAGAATTCCGTTCTGTCCCAGAATTTAACACACACATACTCGGAAAGCTTGACGATAATTTCCTTCATTGATCTAAAACTTAACAGACAAAAGTTTAAGGCTTAAAAGAGATTGGTTTAGGAGTTACTTACGTGGCTGTCTCACATTTGGCTTCGGAAGGGAAGGATCTAATTAAAAAAACCCACAAAACCACAAAACGTTAATCAGAGCGCCACATACAGCCTACAAACTATGCAAGCAACCTTCAGGATCTGATCTGAAAGACATTAATTGTAATTTTTACAAACCAGGAACTTCAGGAAAAACAGCCTGAATTCAATAATCTTGCTCAGCTCAGAAGAATTCTATTCGTATATTGATCATTCCTCAGGGGAACATATCTGCAGTATAGCTCATGCATCATATATTCTGCTGGCAAGTACACTGCAAGCTTTCCCACCCAGATGTCATCGGGTCTGACCAGCAGTAACACTGGTTATCCCTATGTGGAGCTCTGAAAGAGCACAGCTGGCAAAGCCTTGTTTCAGGTGATTATAATCATCTGACTACTCACTAATCACAAACATAAGATACCAGCACACTAAAGAAAAAAAAAAAAATTAAAACCAAACACTGGCTTTCACCTCTAAAGAAAAGTCGTGTTACAGCACGATACACACTGCTCGGTCCAAATTGCATGAATATGTGTGGATTCACAGACTTTCCTGAGCCCTACTTGGTATTCTGTCTTGGAAGTTGGGTGTGGTTTTTATTTTGTTTTGTTTTTTAATTATAGACAGGTAATAAAAGATCATAGCAATTATATCAAAGCTATTATTCTTGGCAAGAATATCAAATATCATTATCAGCATGTAGCAGAAAGGGACAAGTAAACATATGTTTAAAAAATGAAGAGTTTTCCCATCTTTTGCTTAACCGGCTTCTCTTATCTTTCTCCAAGAATGCCACCTCTAGCAGAAGAGCCAGAGATTCTGGCTTCAGACCCGAGGACCTGTTTGGTTAGCTGCAGTTTGCGTCTGAATTGCCCAGGAGCCTAGGGATCTCTTTTAAATTCTGGCATATCTGACTGTGTTCAGTGCAACAGCTGTAAAAGGATTTGATAAGACAGTGTCCCCATACTTGGTTTTGTATCTTTAGCAACTGGAAGAAAAAAAGAAAGTTTAACTGCTGTGCAAACAGCTCAAAAATACTGAAAATAAATTTATTTATTTAAGTATTCTTAAAGCAAGACTATGCTTCTAACTTCTAAAACCCAAATGGCAGCACTAAACTGCCAGCAATATCCTGCAAGATCATTAGGTTCTAAGTCACATGTGCCTACGATATTCAAAAAAGCATTTTATTCTTAAATTGCATGACTGTCACTTGATCTAGTGACATAGTTTAGTGGTAGGATGGCAGTGCTAGGTTAACGGTTGGACTCGATGATCTTAAAGGTCTTTTCCAACCTAAACGATTCTACGAGCATCTCTTCCAGACCACCCTCAGCAGGACGGCAGGAAACTGGGTGAGAACATAGCGGAGGGGAACGTGTGTGTGCATGCACAAATAAGCTGGGAAGTCATCAAGCGCACCTAACAGCAAAAGCATAACTGAACGCAAGATTTGTGAGGGGGGCTAGACTGAAACCAAGGAGCATTGAACAGTGCAAACATGGGTAAGGGCACTGCCAGTTTGTCCAAACACTCCACCAGCATGCCCCAAGTGCCAAGGGAGCCTTCTGAGCTGAGGGGAGAATGGATTTTCCATGCTCATTCTGTCACTGGCCTCTCTACGGAGAAAATAAAGTCTGCTAATTAACGATAGGCTGTGTAGCCCATTATCAGTTCTCCCCAGTGATCCAGTTCTTACATCTATTTTAACGTGGGTTGCTCAGAGCAACACAGAAGCAGTGGGAATCCTTGAGGTCCAGGAAAAGCATCTAATTTAAAAACATCAGCAGCCAGCCTTTAGAAATGATGATGATTTTCTATACCTTTGTAGGATAGAGGCACTTGTTAGCAGCTCACTTGACCTCCTGTCTGACCTGTCTCCTTTTGCTGTAGAAATAATAATCTAAAGTTTCCACACTTAGCAAAAATCCGAACAGTGACATTGGTAGATTATTTCAACAGAAGAACACACGTTTCCTAGCATTTAAATGACTATCCATATGCTTTTCACTGAAGTGAGGGGGAGCGTGTGTGTGAAATGCTGGCACGCAAAGGAAAAGAACGTGACAAGAAGTGAAGTTTTGGACACTTCCATTGGGATTTACTACAATAATGTAAGCAACGGAGCTGTAGATAACTAACAAATTTAGGAGGGGAGGAAGAGTTATTCTCATTTATATTTACAGTTGTGATTTCTATTACAGCCAGTGGCAGTCATAAGCTTATGTCTGAAGAAAAAAAGACACCACCTTTGCAATGGCCACTTTGTCCTGATTTGTGAAACACCAAGTGCGTGACTTCTACATTTGCCTTGGAGAGCAGACCCAATGGCAGTAACTCACATAATATGGTTTACAGCAATGAAAGCTGGCCTGTCCACGTGAAAGCAAATGAAGAACACCACCTCTGAGATGTAAATTCTCCTGCTCAGTAATGCGGTAAGATTTCTTCTCCCAATCTTTGGTTCACGTATTGGCCAACAAGGGCATTTGGCTTTTAAAAAGGGGTTGCTTGATTCGCTGCAGAACAACGGCATACCAACAAAGCTACGTTGTGAATGTGCCACTTTGTATTATGTCTGAAAGCTGTGATATGCTGGGGAGATTTCCACCAAACATCCCACAATTAGACTAAATCACCCACAATGCAACTAAATACTCTATCACACGGTTGTCTTGTAACTAATCTTTATAAATTTAGCTTGTCTTTGCACACTAAGACCTTGTGCCTCTGACAAAGACAACATTCTGAGCAGAGTCTGAGATGGGAGCTGCGCACAAAGCTCCACACATCAGAAGGGCAAGAGAGCTCAGAGTACGAGTCTGTTTATTGAAAGCCGAACTTCAGTTGCAGGATTTACTCATCTCCAATAGAACAAGTACTGAAAAAAAAATGAAAGCTTTGCAAAAAGAAAAAAGCGCAGAATCAGGCCCAAAGCACAGTTTTTAGTTGTACAACATCAACAGATCAAATACTTGCCTTTAGTTCATAGTGGATTTGATTTGTATTAACAAATCTGTAAAAAAACCAAAACATGTGCTGGCTTGCAGAGTTAAACACAAACAGTTGTTGCGTATGTCCCCTAGCAATGCTGTATGGGATGTATAATACTTTAAATTGTTTGAAGACTAAAAAGCATGCACTGTACAACGGAGGTTAAACGACTTCTGATCCCCATCCTTTGACACTCCCCCAAAAGCGTTCCAGAAGTCAAACAGCCTTTGGACACAACTGGAAGACTTTGATGTGCACATGAAGCCATTGAAGCTTCTGATTAAACTGCCATGCTAATACAAAAAGAAAAGATAACACACATATTTTCTTCTACGAATGCATTAGAACATGACTGATGCTGCTGCCAGAAGGATTCACTAAGAAAAACTTTCAAATTAAATGAAAGTGTGGAAACAGTTCTTATTTCCCATCACTCACAGGGCATATTCTTAAGCTAGACTATATTCTCATGATGCCGTTTGGCATTGTCTTATAATGTTTTTCACCCTTTCCAACTCCTTCAACCAGTTACCATCCACACTGGTAGGTTTTTCCGTAAAGATTACCTAATCAAAGAAGCCTCACCAAAATGGAGCTAAAATACCTTTGTGCGTCTCATCTTTAGGTCTGAACAGTTTAGCAGTCCAATGAGCCTCTCTCTGGTGGCCACCATTTTGCTTTACAGACTTATGAGGCTTTAGCATCCTCAATACTTTGTAATTCCACCGTTGTTGTTCCTAAATATATATTTGCAAGCAGAATAAAGAAATGATCCAGCAGGGAGCAGAGCACTGCTTTTGATCTCTGGGCAACAAGAAGTTGCTGGAAGCACTACTGCTATATTCATACTTAAGAAACACACATTGTTGTGTAGTACGGTATTCCTTTCTCAATGCCTGGCAAAACCACGTGTCCAGAGATCAATAAAGACAGTTAAAAAACCAGCAATGAACTGCCACGCTGATTGCTGCCAGGGAAATGTCTAAACAAATAATATCTTACAGACACGGTATCACCACAAGATTATACAACCATAGAATCGTTTAGGTTGGAAATGCCACATACTTGGAGTACTCCCTCATTTCAAGCGGCTGTATATTACTCAACATAGTTATATATAACCTTATCAAACAGTTCAAGCTCATTTTCCTACCTTCTGGTTTTCCTTCATGTGTTACAACAAGGGGCTTGGTGAAGGTTTTCTTGTTGTGCATCATGGCCAAGATCATATCCACATTGAGAGAGGTGCAAGCTTCATCAGGAGGAATGCACTGTGGGTGTGTAAGGACAGACAGTCACCCATCTGCCGGGACAGCTGTTCCAGCTGCACAGTGGCCTCATTGTCAGTTTTATCCTATATTATTTACCAAAAAAAGATAAGAACCTCCAAACAACTCCCATGTAATATACTGGCAAAGGTAATTCTTAGCTGTGCTTCAGGACACAAGCTTTGCCTCCATTAGGGATCCTCCAACCTTTATGAAAAGTGTTAATATTGAACTTAAATGCTAGTAATTATTTTTAGTATAAATGTTTTCTAAAGATCTGGTAGCCAAAACTGTAGCCACCAACACACGAGTTGATCAACAATGACAAATTATCTTTAAAAAACATATTTCAAGGGGGCTGTGCATAAACCCCAAAGTAAAAATAAATTCAAAATCCTTAGACCACATTCTTTAACAACTGATTTACAGCCATTTCCATTAATTATAAAGCAAAATTTGGCAAATCTCTTTTGAGGCAATCAGATTGCAACATTACCTGGTATTATGCATGTCTTTGGAAAGCTAACATTGTTTATGCTTTGGATATGGAAGTGATACAGACAGCAAAGATAAACCTGAATCGCTTGCACAATAAAAAGCAATTTCTATTTATCCTGCATAACCACCTAATGAAATTTAAACAGAAACTGTAAATATGCAGTCAAAACGCATAGCATCACTCTTCTCTATTAAAATCTTGAGCCTAGAGATGTTCATTACATCAATTACATCGGAAATTTTATTCACTTGATGTTTATTCACTTCAAAGTTAAGCTAAAAAAAGAAGAAAAAAAAAAGATCTTATTTTCACCTAAATCAGAAGTTTAGACTTTAATAAATTACTGACCTTTGGCAGTCCTTGAGTATCTTTGTCTTTATTTGTACACAAAGTCAACTCACAGTGAAGAAAGAGCAGTGAGATGTTGAACATTGGTTTAAACACAAAGCTAAATCTTTTTTTGTCCTTCTGTGCATGTGGCATTGGAAAGTTCACCTCAATGCTGTAGAATTTAACAGATTCATCTTTAGGACAAATGTTTTCTATAATGGTGTAGTCAGACATTCTATCTGGATTTGAAAACGGAGAAACAAAGCATGTTTGAATGGCAAAGCCCAAGGATCTGTCAGCTTTAGTCACAGACACCTGCAAGAAGAAGAAAGAGATAGCAAGATCTCAGAAATGACATTTTTAGTTCACATTTCATTAACATTTTCAAAAATTTTTTAAGCAGTTTTCCAGTGCTGCTTCCATCTGAACTATTCTGAAGGCTAAAGGTAGACCGTCAAACTGAGAGACAGAAAACCTGTGGTTTCAGAACCAGCAGCTCTTTAATAGCATAACTGTGCATAAATACAGCAACCCCTTATCTTTCCAAAAGCAAATGAAAAAAACAGTCCAGATCAGACGTGTAGTTAATGACTGCGACTGCCACCTGAGCTGGTGCTGCTTCCCTTGGACACACAGAGTGAAATACAGCTCTATGGAAGTCAATTACTAATTCCATGTCTCTGTATCTGTTTGAAACTTTAAAAAAAATAAAAATAAAAGCAACAGACAGAACAGAGAACCCACCCCCAGCCAGGAGAGGAATGCAGAGGCAGAGAGGG